TGCCCCTTCAATCATTTCACAAATCCCTTAGTACAGTGAACATACCCCAAGGGAAAAATGTGCCGCTGCTTTCCTGAAGTGGATCTAAAGATTCAATTTTGGAAGTGACTGCTAGACTATATTCCAAAATGAGCTAATAATGAAAGATGTGGCCTTGTCAGTTTCTGTTTAAAAAACTGAATATCAGAACTTTTTGGCTGCATTTTTTGTTCTAATACAAGTGGAGAGGAAATACTGTGCAGGTGTGGACTATATCACTATGTTCCATGTCAAGAATGGAAATTATGTTAATCATGAAAGGAGGAGTGAAAGATGATGATGAGACATAGTTTTTGCAATGTTACATGTGCATCATTATGCAAAGTTGAGTGACAGCCAAACTAACTAAGCCTTGTGCTAATTGGCTCTACCTGACAGGTGGGAGAGTCCACTATGTTGCTGTTAAAAGAGCTTGTTATTGTTAGGTTGAATTTTAATACTAGAAGGTCCAGGAAATCTTTATACCCATTAAGGCAATGGGACCATCTTGACCCCCATGGTATATTAGGTTCCATATCTCCCCTGTTCTTATGTTTTCTTAGCCCACTGTTGGTGAAGCATTTATTGAAAAACATATGGATTCACCTTTCAGATGTAGTTCAAATTTTTTTAATCAATACAGTCCTGAAAGGGGCCAAAATGACCCATTGTTCCTTCTAATGTTGAGCTAGTTTCAAGGCCTAAAAAAGCTCATCAGTTCTAATAATAATTCCATGGCATTAGAACAATTTATAGCTTCAATCCATGTCCAGCTAATGTTAAAAGAAGTTTTTGAAACTGTTAAAAAATTAATTTAGTTCCCATTAACTGGAAATAAGATGGAGCTAAGCTGGAGGTAATGAAAATCCAGATAGTCAATTCTGCATTAGTGATTTCTTGAAAAACCTAAACCAGCACCACTTTAAACTATTTTCCTATTGTCAGCCTGTTAAACTGAAATTTAATTGCCGTTGCCTTTCAGTAACCTGGATATAAACTAAACTGAAAAAGAGACCTTACATAGGAAGTTATTATGGCTTGTCTTCTGTTTCAGTAAAGTGGATGCAAGTTGAAAATTCACATACATGAAACTAAACTGGTCGAACGTAATTTCCATAGGATCAAGCTTGGTTAGCCAATCATATGCCTACTCCAACTAACTTCAGTGGAATAACCCAAGCTAGGCCTAACGCAAGTAACTACGAGGTAGGTTGACTAACGAACAGCACATATTGGCCAAGCACACTAATATGAAGCTGGCACAGCACATATTGACCAAGCACACTAATATGAAGCTGGCACAGCACATATTGGCCAAGCACGCTAATATGAAGCTGGCACAGCACATATGCGGATACATCCCAGCCTACCTCCAAGCCTACAGTGCCAAGTGGTCTTTGTCATGCTTCCATCGTGTGTCAAGGCTGATGAGCGAACTGCTCGGAGCCATAATGACATCGGGTTGCCACATTGAATGGGTGAAAATTGCCACCCAGGCCTCAAAAAAAAAAGACCATCAAACAAAAAATTACCGAAAGTTAGCTTGTGAGTGCCATCAATAAAATATTTGGTTAAGGCATCGAAAACTTGTGGCACAAGGAGAAGTTCAAAAAGAACCAACGGGCCAAGAGCATCTGTACAGTGATTTTCACGTGAGTCAGGCTTTCACTCATGCACAGGTGGTCAGATGAACTTCCCGTGCACAGTTATCGGAGCCAAGTGAAAAACACTGCATAATTTCTGTTATAATTAAAATCAACCAAAGTAAATTCAAGTGCCTCCTCTGGATCACGCGTGTTGCCAGGAGTGGCCCAAAGGTTTGCGAAGCTGGAGATGACGCAATATGCAATCCTCCTGATGTAATACGCGCGCGAACATCCCTGCCTAGCAGAGCTTGGTCTTCCATTGTCGCGAAGCAACGGATCGAACGTCTTCGAGTCCAAGACTGCCAGACTGCCACATCGATGTAGTGCGACTGAACTACAGGATTCTTCGAATCCTCTCGAATTCAGTGGCGGCTCGTGGACGAAAAATCTGAGGAGGCCTGCTCATGATCTTTACAATGAACAAGAATTAATTGTAGTATTAATCAGGGCCGCCCAGACGGGGGGATAAGGAACAATCTGCTCCAGCCTTGCGTATCAAGGGGTCCCAAGGGGCCTCCGGTTTAGTTTTGCCCCGCACCCAGTGGCGTAACCAGGTTTTCGTCAATTTAGTTTCGTTTCGCTAAGCGGAACGTTGGGGGGGGGGAGGGCTAATTTCTCCTCGTCGGGGTGGGGCGGGTGCATTCCGACCAGACGGCCCCCCCCCCCCCCCCCCCCCCCCCCCTCGCTACGCCACTGCCCGTACCTCTGGAAACTTCTGGGCGGTCCTGGCATTAACTCTCATGCACAAAATTTTCAGGGAAAAAAATCCTTGCTACATGTATTTTCAATTTCAGATAAGATACATTTATTTGACATAAATGAACACAATTAACACAATCATTAACCCTTTGAAGAGTATGCCGTATATTTACGGGTTGAAATTTTCGCGCGCTGTAGAATGCCTGTATCTTTGCTGCCCGGCTTAAAACTAGCACGACAGCTTTTTCTTTCTCTCTGTGTATCAAGGAACTTCGGCAAGCAACACTATTCCCCAATTTAGGTGACAAAATATGTTTAACCTTTTCCACTCGAATGGGCGAGTATACTCGCCCATTGGTACTTTTACTCTTGCACTCTTAAAAGTCTCTTCATTCATTCGGGTGGGTTACCTTGCTGCACCTTGCTGCACTGGAAAAAAATTACGCATTTTCATTTTTTCGTTTTATGTGGTAAAAAATACGAGCTACCGGAGAAAACACATGAAAAAAATTCGAGTGGAAAAAGTTAATATTCATGCAGCGCACCGCTGATCAGTGAGCCACGGCGAGCAAAAGAAAACAAACTTTTGCAGAAATGAAATAACGGTATTTTTAGATTTTGCAAAAAGAATACACAAGGGAGTACGTCTTTGCAAAACGCACCGCAAGACGGGAGAAAAGGGCAAGAGACTCTCGTTGCCAGTGTGTCCCGTGATAATCTGGGACTTTTGCCTTAACCCGTGCTTTGCGGAATACTGAAGCATTACTGAGCGCATGAATCCAAGGGGGTTTTCTTCGCTATCTACTTTTTTTCATTTCAATCATATAAAATTCCAAGAAATATATATGAAAATATTGCAGATGAACCTTTATAAGCATTATTTAGACCATATTTCATAAATAAACAAGAAGCTTGTTCCTGGACATTGCCCCTGAAACCAATTCGGCCTATTGAAGGAAAGCCTCCGAGCTGTGAAAAAAAACTCACTCAACAGGTTAAGAATTACTCCTACCATCTGTTAGCAGCAAAAAACGACTACTAGCAGTGGTAATACAAGGCGATTCTGGAAGCAACCCACCATGCTGCCTCGAAACAACATCACAAACAGGTGGTACATTAATCGTACTAACATGCTTCAATACGTTAAAAGATGGTGGTACGATTTCCGCACCACCGACCGTGAAAAAGTTGCGCACGAAGCACGAAAAGGTGTGCTTGAGTCCGTCGCTGAGCGCGGAACCGTTTCGCGTTTCCAGTCCACATTGTATCGAAATCGCGCGAAAGCAGAGTGGGAAGTGAAACTTCCATCGAACGCTCGAGTGAGAGACGAAGCGCGTCCGTGGCCCGAGGAGAGAAGTAGTGGTCTGACGACTCCCTCCCACTGGCGAGTTTCCCAACTTCTAAAAAAAATCACGACTGGCTCATCTCGCGAATATCATAATGTTTTGCATAACTGGGTGCGCTGGGCTGCGAGGTGCAGCGGAAAATGTATTTAGTAACATGGGGTCTCCCTCTAACCTCTTACTTCGGTGATCCCCCCAAAACTTTGACTCTAGTCTATGACCATCCCCGGACTAAATGAGGAAGCCATGCAAAGTTTGGTCGGACTGAGATCAGAGGTGTGGCCGTGCATTAAGGACAGACAGACACACAAACATTCTGAAATATAGTATAAGAAGATAGATATATCTTGTGTCTATCTCATCCATGGCAACTGCGCAGATATAAATTGTCAATGCGAATTTGGATTACCGAAAAGCTCTCTACTTGAGGCAGGCGAGCCTAAAGACATGCTCTTCCTTGCAGGCTCCGCCCATGCGCAATGCAGACAGTGAGACCGGCCTCCCTGCTCTCTTTTACTATTGCATTGCTATTGTTTACTTTTGTATTAAGACTTACCACTACGAATCGTCTATGAGCCAGAGGGGGCCACCGGGCTCTGGCCTCCCATGCGCGATTCTGGGCAGGAGTAAACTGTCAGAGACCGGGCTTCGCTCGTCGAGTGGCGATCGAGAATGAATACAATGATTATCAGAGATTTCTTATAGGTATTTACTATCCTAATGGACATTTTCAATTACATGGGGAAGGGTCTCCTGAGAATTTTTGAGGAGGCCGAGCCTCCCTTGCCTCCCCATGACGAGCCGCCGCTGCTTGAATCCCCCGAAAATCCTATGGACCACTTCGTTCATCATCTGGCCCCGTGTGGACTGGGGGGGGGTTGGTTCAGTTCAGCTTTTAATTCCAGTGATTCAAGTGAATCGAGTTGAGAAATTTCTTTGGGCTCCTATTCTGATGCTGAGCATACTCGGACGAAGACGCTGCCGTCATTCGAAATTCTACTTCTGGGCAAATTCTACTTTTGGGCACGAGCCCAAAAGTAGAATTTATCCTCTTTTTGCGATCACGTCATCGGACGTCAAAAGGAAAAGACGACACCGACGCCCCTCGCACCGATCCGCGACTCAAAACATCCCCAAGCCTGCATGAAGTCTTTATTGGCGCATCTGGACGGAATCAGCGATTGAACATAAATACGAAGGAGCAACGAAAAACGGAGACCGAGCAAGAGAGAGAGAGAGAGAGAGGGGGAGAGAGAGGGAGAGACCCCGTTCAGAGGCAACCGCACCGAGTGACCGCCAGGACCTGCCTGCTCCTCCGCCACCGGTCCTCCACGGCGTAGCTCTGGTACATGAGCGGCCCGCACCGCCCCGCCCGCGACCGGGACGACAGCAGGCACGACCCCTCTCCGGACCTGCAAGATACGACACCCGTCATCGATATCCGCATTGCCACCTGCAAAGCGTTTCTTCCGAGCATTTTTCAACCGGACGCGGACGACGACAGGACTTTTGAAAGCCATTCGACCGCGCTTTTCGGCGGAACCGAACCTCCACCCTCTACTTGCGTTTCTACGATACTGCCATCTATACGCAAGTTCGTGAAGCGACTTTCGGGGCAATCGTACTGTAGGATATGAAGTTGTACTGTAGATTGCGCAATACTACTCGAAAATTGGAGAAATGCCCCTGCAATTTGAAAATCCCAGTTAATCTTGCTTACCAGAATGGAATTCCTGAACCGAATTTGCAGAAAATCCGCATGAAACTGGTCTTATCGGTAGAGTCTCTTCTCGGTTCAGTCCCAACGCCCTTAGCTATGCCCTTCAAGGGCACTATAGAATAAGGTCACGGCACCGAAAGGTTTTAGACTTCTAGCCGGCACTTTTCTCCTGAACTCATCCCATCTTCACCTTTACGACATCGTCAGCGCCAGGCGAATAAAAAATTTTCAGTTCCCTCAAGGATTCCGGGAGACGCCGAAGCTCGAGAACGGCCGAGGCGAAAAACCAAAAAAAAAAATAAAAGGGATCGCTCACCTCGTCAAGCAGTCGAATAACGACCTGGAGGAGCAGGACCCGACACACTTCCCGACGTCGATCTCCTGCAGGGGGCAAAAAAAAAAATACGGGACACGTCACGACACGTCGCCTTCGAGTTATGTTATTGCATTTTTTTTATATTTTTATTTTTATAGCTTTCGTGTTAAATTTGTTCTGCTGCGCAATCGTATCTGGGACATAGGTCCATAATTATGTGAGCATAAAACATGAAATTTATGGGGGAAAAAACGTTAAAAAAAAAAGTTTCAGAAACCCAAGGTAAATTTTTGAGTCTCAAAGGTGTCTTATTCGAGCATTCATGATTCAAGTTCGGTGAATGATTTGATCATCTGATAACTGCCGGTAAAGACGATGAATTTGACCTCAAGCGCCCAAAATGCACTAAAATAGCATTTCGGCTAAATAAAATATCCCCAATTGCATATCTTCCTTTTCGAGCGAATTCAGCCCACGTAGAATGCTACGCCGACACGGCGAAAGGCGTCAAAGACCGCCAGCAGCACCTCATCGTACGTCACGTGTGACCTTTTTTTTTTTCTCTGCGATGTAAGCCCCGTGGGAACGGGTTCTGAGGGAACTGACCCGGACGAGAGGCTCCCCGCTGGTGGAGTTGGCGTAGTCGTAGAGGACGTGGAAGTGCGGGCTCCGGTAGCAAGAGGACTCGCAGGCGCAGGACACCACCACCTCCGCTCCGACGGAACCTGTCGACGGGATGTCGCTCGTGATCGACCGGGTGTCGCGGGGGGAATGGGGGGCAGGGGGGCAGGGGCAGGGGGGATGCCGGGGGACTCACCGTTGGGTCCGTCGAGGTGGATGGTCGTGTTCCTCTCTGCCTGACAGTGACTCGTTTTCCCTAGGGGGAAAGTGGGGCGAGAGGTCATTCGAGGGATCCACCACGATTTATGGGGTGTCCCCAGAAAAGATTTTTTTTTTTCATCTTTAAAATGTAACATCCGTTATCGTTTTCTTTTTCAATTCTCACTGCAACTTACGTTCGGTGGCTTCGCCCGAAGGCTGCAGAGCCACAAACGAACGTGACCAAAATTCTCATTGCATTACTGCGCGGAGTTGTGGGTTTTCGAACTTGGGAACCCTAGTCCCTGCGAATTTAACCCTTTTAACACTGGCCGAATTTGGCTACTATAGCCAATATCACGGAGCCGTAATTAGACAAACAATAGCGCAAACGACAGTGGTCAAACTATTCAAATATTCCAGTCCGTGATTGACTCATGATGATTCCTACAGCCAAAGATGAAGTTGATTACATTACTGGGCCGATACATCGGGCCGCGTTAAGAGGACTAAAGATTAAAGATAAAGAGGATTAAAGGCTTTGCCTCAAACGGGTTTCTCGCGATTTTCGAGTCCATGCCCCACCAGCGCGAGAACCCTCAAGACCAGACTCGAGGCTGCGATGAGAGAGTCTCTTTCCTTACCTTTCCCCGGGCAGTGACCGACGCACTGCCCCAGGTCCTTGGTGACCTGGAACGGCCCGTCGGGGAAGAAGGTGACGCGCCTCGGCACGCGCCTGCACCCGGCCGCCTCCCCCTCCCCCTCGCACCTGCACCTCTCCACCGCCCACACCTCGTGCGCCCCCTCCAGCGTGTAGTGGGTCTCCTTCCTCTCCCCGTCCGGGAGGCAGTGGGCGTGCCGCGAGCACTGGGACGAGTCCTGAAGGGGGGATTCCATCGGTTCAACGAGCCCTTTTCGTAACACTCAAAGGTCACTGT